ATTCAATCCCTGACATAAACAAAATTGTTAACCATATCAAACAATAGAAAATAATACAAGATCTCAGGACTGAGTAACAAAAGTGTGTTCACAGATAGTGAACAAGCAATATATTGAACATAATTGCAATGAATTTCTGAGTATGAAGTAAAAAACAAAAAAACAGTGCAAGATACCTATAGAATCAATATCTAAACTATCAAATAAATGTCTTTCTTCAACTGCAATCGCCTTTTCAAACATTTGCTGTTGCACAATTTTCTTGCATTCTGTATACTTTGCTTTAGCATCTTTGTCATTTGGACGAAATTTCACAACCTAAAGAAAAAAATCAATACATTACTTTAAAGTCAAATAAAACATTAAAAAGAAAACGCTAAAAATATTTACCATTTCATAATCTTTCAGACTCAGCTTAAATTTTTGAAGAGCCATATTTGCTGTTGCTCTTCGGTAATARCCCTATGTAAAACAAAATCTGATAKTCGAGATGCAAAAATAGGTCAGAATAAAGGACCAACTGCACCTAAGGTTTTTGATGAGGACCTCCTCAGGCTCATAAGTTATTCATAAAGTAATTGTCATCCAACCCAGTGCTCTGATTTAAAGTCACCAGAGAGACTTTGAAACCCCGGGATTCCCCTCTCAAATTTTACAGCAATTTTARCTTCAATCTAGCAGTATTTTTGTGATTAACCCAAAGTCCAAGCTAGTGAAGTAATAATCAAATTAATAAAAAGTCCCAGAGTTCTCATTTTACACTTCTCCCCATCTATTCACCCAGCATGCTTTTATTTAAATCATAATTAACAGTTAACTATAACTCATTAGAACTTTCCCAATTTGKAACACACAAATTTATAATAAGATGTCTACGATGACATGATGATTTTCGACGATCGATCTAAACTGTCGAAAATTTGAGCATTTTTACTAATTTTTCTCGATGAAAGTTTTCTTTATTCAGAATTTCAGAGTCTCTGTTCCCAAATAAAAATATACATTTTTATCAATTAGAGGCTGTGATTTTATGAGATACAACTGTAACTGATTTAAGTTTTTTTTAAAGGTACGGAGATGATAAGCTTAATTTAGTGATGTGCAACTTTATTAGACACTGCAAATGRTCATGTGAACCTACCTTGATGTACTTCCTATCCAGTTGTATAGCTTTATTTGCATCAGCCAAAGCTAAGCCATAATATTCAGTTTTAAGGTAACAGAAGCTTCTRTTTCCATAGTAAGCCGGTAGCTTTGGATTCAGCTCGATTGCCATGCTGTACAAAGTTGTTGCCTCCACATACTTTCCTTCTGAAATTTTTACCCCAATTCGATGCGATTACTAATTTACAATGACAATAAACTGTATTCAATTTACGGCTTTTTACCTTTAAACAAATCATTGGCCTTAGCTTTAAGCCCTTCTGCTTCTTCTTCTGGTGACAACTGRCCATTGACTTCTTCGGCCTCTTCAGCCATCTTGAATGCATTTGCTTGCGGTCTCGCGGGAAAGCACTTGTCTCAGGCCTCCTGGCCGTGAATCTCCTCTTTGTCCGGGGGCGGAACGCACGGAAAATAACTAGACGCGGGGGATCGAGGATACACGTGTATGTCACGCCTACATCAAAGCAAAATGTTATTCGCTGAAAAACACAGAATGAAAATTTGAAAGGACTTCATTGGTCAAATCACATTTCATAAATCATCGATGTGCGCACCATCTCAAACGGATGAAACCCTTAGGTAGTCCCTTCATCCATCAATCCCGGACGGAGAGATATTAAGATATCGTGAAAGATTAGCAGGGTAAGAATAGATTGTACAAAATGTGCATAAGCACGTTATAATTGATATTATAGAAAAAGAACAAAAATTTTAAAAATGTAAAAAAAAGTGTAATGACAAATCATTTGGTAGTTTGTCTAAAGCATAAATTAGCATAGTTATTAAAAAGGTCCTATGGCCTACGTGCTCCTAAAAAAGAGCGTCAGCCCGGCCTGGTCTYCACATATTCACAGGATCTTTGAAAAAGAGCCCGTAACCTCAAGCTTTATACCCTGGAAAAATGGTTTCGAAGAAAGTACAGACATGGCCCTACTTCATTAACAATGTCATCGCAAGCGAAGGAGCACGCACAAACGCAAACCATTTTTTCGTGCAAAATTCATTTAAAATTTCRAGTGAGTTTAATTTGCAGATGAAAAAGTGCACAGGCTCCCAGCATGTCAAGCTTCCTCTCACTGAGGCCCGCCGCCTTACTTTGAATGATCCCATGTCACCTATATTTGCTATACAGGTATGTGTCGCAGGATGGGATCCCTTTTCCAGAGCTCCCCAAGTCTGAGATAGGGTATCATTTTTTGCCCATTTGTCTRGGTTAGGGTAGTAGTTTTGTCTGCGATAGGGTAGTTTATTGTCTAGGATAGGGTATAGTCTCATTGTCTGGGGTAGGGTAAGGGTTTTGAGAGTCGTGCCCCCCCCCCCCCTAACTGTGCTTGGATCACCAGTCAAAAACGCCCCCACACCCATAACTGTGCTTGGATCACCAGTCAAAAACACTGGTCACAATACACGGGGAGTCAGTTCATCAACACTGTTTAAGAGTTGCCAACAAAAGAAATAAGAAAGGACGGCAATGGTGCAACATGCATGACATAATATCATAAAAACAAYCAWAAGCTTGTTAAAAACAAAAYGGACCAATAAAAACACCTGGCCCAGTTATAGTTGCAACTCTCAAGTCAAACATTGCTGGTAATTTGTTGGCTCAACCCAGAGTGAAACTGAAGAAAGAAGCATATAGCCTATTGTTCTGGACAGCCAATCGCAATGACTTTTGTTAAGAGCTACAGCATTGATTTAACAAAGAACATCACTTCACATCAGTTATACTAGATGACACTTTATTGCCAGTTTTTGACTGCATAATTATTTATGTACACAAGACCAAGTAAGAGATTACCACCCAACATAACACCTGTTTGTTAAAGAATAATATTATGGTAAAAACATTCTAAAATATCTATCTATGACAGCCAGCCAGTATAGATGAGTTTTTCTTTTCTTGTTTATATAGAAACAAATAGTGTGATTATAAAAGACATGCATTTGTAATGCTATAAGTTAGACTATGATAAAATTAAGAATATAGAGAGAACACACTTAATGCATGAAACAAATATTGTGCAAAATAGCACTAGATTTGGTTTCTATTGTCGAATCAACACTATTTAGTATTAATAAGAAATATTTTATATATTTAGTGTGTTCACTCTAGCATTAGCCTGTGTTACATCCAGAATTTCTAKCTCATTTCCATCCAGAATTTCTAACTAATTTCCGTCAGACGGAAATTAGATAKAAATTCCAGATGTAACCCAGGCTATTTAGCTAGCATTAAACAGATTCCTTTCATTGTGATTTCTATTAAGTTACTTTACCACTTATGGAGTTATATAATACACTATAGTTCTCTTATTGAATACACCTAGTGTGTATCACATCTGTGATCATAGAACCAGTCTTAAAATTCACATTTACAATAAAAGAGCTATAGAGTGCTTCAATGTGCTTAAAARGCATCACCATTCCTCCAAATATAATTCAAAATTAGATATTTRATAATACCAGAACTAAAAAATATAGACACATTATCATAGATATGATGAAAATCCTAGAATATTGGGCAGTAGGAAGATTAAATGAGATCCATTAATGGCAATCTGAATTATAAGAGATAACTCAATACAGTAAACACTGTAAAATAAGGTGAGTGAGTGATGACAAAAACAAACAGAAAAAAAAAACAAATTTCCTATAAATTTACAAAATCCATGTAACTACACTGAATATCTTAACCATCCCTTTTTCGTCTCTTTGATTTATTTGAATACTCTTCATCTGAAGCTGAATCTGTATTGTTGTTTTCTGTTTTCACATTAAACCCATCTAAAGGTGAGTTTGGACCTTTCAATCCATCCAGTATTGAATCAGGATTAGGAGAGCTGCTTAATAAGGAATCGGGTGAACTCAGCAGAGCAGCAGTTGCATCTGCATTAAATTGACCAGTCGCTCTTGCYTTTTCAAGTGCTCTGACTAGAAAATGAACAGCAATATTATAGGTAAGACATATGTACATTGATTGCACCATTATTGCATTTAAAATTGCACAATTTAAGCACATGTCAATATGAAAAATAGTTTGTGGACAAAGCCATGCAATTAATATTATTTTGCATCTCCTTAGTATTAAGTGTTAGGGCTTTTGCAATAAAGAGCGAATTTCGTATGACTGTCCAACAACACAGCAGACACAAGACACTGTCATGGAACGTCACCTTCCAGTGATTCCAAATACAAATAAAGATTCAACAATACATCAAATTGACACCACCACGATACGGTACGGCCACTGTGCGAAGGTGTCATGTTTTTTGCACAGTCATACAAAATCTGCTCTAGCAAGATTATATTAATATTTAATATTATTGCTTTACTTGAAAGTTGCTTTTCCTGTTTTACTACAAAGACAATCAAATGAATTTTGAATACCTTGTTGATCAAGAATCATATTTTGTCTCTTTAGATCATCAATATCCATCTGAAAAGTGACCATTCATTCAAAATTTGAACCAGTTACATAAGATAATTATTAATTTGAAATGGGAATAATGAATTGGACTGCTCACATGGTAAATAATGCTAGGCAATGCTACAATATCAAAATATCGAGCACTTCTTTTTCAATTAGTACAAGAGATTTTTACGATAAGCTTCTACAGTGATCATAAATAGCATAATGTTAGCATACTACTGAGACTGTATATTTTGACCTTTATCCAACAATCGATAGATCATGTTATTTGTTAGAAATATGCACTTCTGGTCTTATCTCCACATATTTTATATTTGCAAAAAACAAACCCTGGCACCATAGCCATGGGTAAACCCATGACCCTTCTTGGTCAAGACTAGTTTCTATGCAGATCAGATGCAAATCATTTTAATACCTGATGCGTATGATTCTTTTTTCTCATGAACTGTATGTAATCTGTTGCTTTATTTAGTATTTGAGCTCTTGAAGCCTAAAACCATAACATATAAAACAAATCATTAGAAGAATAACTAAAAAATAACTGAAGCAGCAGAATATTCAGTAGCAGATCCAGTTGGAAGGTACCATCCCCAGTTATTTAATCCAGTTATTATCAGATGGTGTTAGGTTGGAGTGACAGTGTCAAAGAGGATCCTCTTCATGGTGTGCAAGGTCATAAATAGCCACTTTATTGCAAAATAATGGCATCAGARAACTCAAAATTTTAAGGAAATGGATCTTGTACACATTACCGTAAAACAATGAGACWGGCAGATTTTTCAGAAATTGTCTATAGTTAGCTACTATATATTTTGAATATTCTCAGATCAATGATTTATGAACTACTGATCATAATTTTCACTGATCTGATTTTTGCCATAAATTTAATTTGGGGAAAACTTTGAAATTCTCACTTAGATCATGTTACACTTCGAACTTTGATAACAGAGTGAAGTGTAATAAGTCAAGTAAAGCTTAAATTTTATTTTTTTTGCAGTCTGAAGAGTTTGTGTGATTAYATTTTCATCAGTTACAGCTGCTGCACATTAGATCAACTTCATTTAATAAACCCTGCCATTCTTTTATCAAATATTACAGTACTCAAAATACAGTGGATTATGTAAAAATAATGTGATGAAACATGAACTATCCCTCATGGGAATAACCAGGTTTATTAACGTTTGTCTAATAACAAATGATAATGCACATATAAAAAATGTCATTTCCTTTCACTTTCGTTATTATTTTGTTTTGCAACGTGCAATTTTATTTGACAGTCAAATAAACATGCCCAGGCAAGTAAATAATAATTACATCATTAAAATTGAAAATAATCGAAAATATAGCTGYCCCATGATTTCTTATTGCATTCGATGTSTCTTTAAAACAGACAGTGTAATATGATCGCTGCATCGATTTTACAAATCATCCCAAAGTTCTACACTATTGACAACTGAACGATTCACGCGATAATAAGTTACCTCTAACATCTAAAACTAAAAGGTTTTCAGCAACTTTGATTAAAAGTTAACAGAGTTGACATTATATTTCTGTGGATACTATAATTTCAAAAATTAGATTCGCTTTTAGTTCAAAAACAACAAAAATGCTTGACAGTTACGTTTTTCACCGCACTTATTATTCAAATCTCTGTTTTGTKTACATTTCAATGGACTGCCACGAAACAAACGAATTTGCCGCCCGTGTTTTGTTCCTTATTTTTTGACACGAAAACATTTCTCATCCTGGCCCATTCCAAACTTACGTCTAACACTCTTATCATTTGAGATATTTTTCACATGAGTTTGGCCACCCGTCAGATTATGACAGTCACTTCAGCGGTTGCGAAAGCATCAACAAACAACGTAACATACCTTTTCGCCTTGCAGCGAAGGGATGGAGTCCCGCAAGTGGGAAAAACTATCTTTAATATGATCCCTTCTCTTCCTCTCTAGGGCATTATGATGAGCTCTTTTATCAGCCTAAATTAGAATAAATGTAAAACTTTATATACAAATTAAATAGTTGACGAAAATTGCTTATCATTTTGCTTCAAACACAAGTCATCAAATATTCAAACTCGGAAAGATTTCGGTGAACGAAGTGGATTTCATAGCGTGACGCGAAGGCCAAGTCTGCGCTTACAACTTCAATCTAGATATGCCGATCCACAGCTTTGCCCTAAACATCTGATGATTTATCGAACGTCAGCACTAGCTGTATTTGAAGTCTATTTTCTGCGGGTTAAACATAAACACGTGCTTTTGAGTTCAAGCCATGTGGATATTCCAGTCGAATTTGACACCAAAACATTCAAACTGAGATGCTGTTAAAAATCGCTCGAAAAATTTTACGTTGACGTTCTAGGAGACATTCGATGCGTTAGGAATTCATCACTAAAAATAACTGAACGTATTTCAAGGCACTTACGTCGTCACTGCTCTCTAAATCAATTTCTTTTTCGTCTTCACTCATGTTTCTTTGTAATTTTCTTTGCTTGCTGGTTTGCTTCTCCCTCGTGACTCACGCACGTGTCCACCCAAACGCAAGCGCTGCCGTCTGCCACAATATGAGCCAATCACATTTGCCGACAGAATGATATAACAATTATTGTCATTGGTCCTCACGTTTTTAAAAGACAAATACAGGGAACCCGGTTTATTTCTCTTTTCTTGTTCACTTCAATAAATCGAATGACCAACCTGGAGTGTTTAAATACCCAGTATTATTAAAAAAAAAACATTTACTGGTATTCATCAAAAATAATGAGGAATTGATGAAGAAACAAAAATCTTTTTTTTTGTCGCAATGACACGGATACTGTACGACATGACCATATTTAGTTGCTCTTAAGTAAAGTGTTACTTAATGTGATAATAAACTGTGCAATATTGGTATATTTAAAATGATGTAACAGTTGTGTGCCTCCTTCACTTCACCCGCCCCTATGACTGGTTATAGGACCATAGTTATAGACTTCYTTCTACTTAGTGCACCCTTAGTGCAGTTCAACCGAATGCTCTCTCCACACCCTCCCATTCCGCAAAACTTTATCATTAGGACCAAAACAGCATCTAATACATAACTTCAAGTGAGGGAGGCTGGTGAAAGGATGAAAAAATAAAACTGTTATGCACAAACTTGGTCACGAAATTCAGCAATTTTGCAAAAATTATCAGAAGCTTTTCCTGTCTTTAGTTTCAGGACTTTAGACTAGTACAATCTCAATTAAACTACACAAAGTTAACTTTAGTTCACTTTGCAYTAAGCCTTTTTGATTGTTTCCTTGACAACCCACTCTGCGCACCGAGGGAGTTTTCGGCACATCTACACATTTGTGTAAAAGATGAATTTAACACCGTAAAAAAAAAAGTTGGTGAAATAACTTACTGACGTTTCGGACGTTAATCCTTCGTCGGAGCAAAGAGATGGAACTAGGTATAGTGTGAGTTTATATAGTAAGAGTAGCAAGGAAAATAGACCAATAGGAGCTAGTCCCCACCACATCTACAAATTTTCTGTTCCATGCAACCGGGTAGTCTGGTTCTAGAATCCCGAATCCAGAACCTTGGCTGATTTTATATAGTAACTGATCGGTAGCTTGTTTCGTATTGTACTTTTATCGGCAGATTAAATGAAACACATGTATTTGCACTTTTGTGGATTCCCTGTGGADGGAACGGACGGGAAGACGTATTACTAGTTCCCAAGGCGGTGATGTGGCGCCGGTTGTGTGATTTCCATGGAAAAGTTGTACTATTCACAGGAGAGCTCTATAATTGCGCTTAATGMTTCCGTATTTACTCTGTTGTACACAAACATTTCACTGTCAGCTCAGTCGTATATAGGTTCTTTGATCAAGAGGACATCGTATTATAAAAACACAATATGTSTGAAAGACGCTGAGTGCAAGGAATCCGTGTTTGGAGGTGTCATATTGCATTATAAGAGTTACAAAGACACAGTTCAGATTCATCCTTAAAATGATTAGAAAAACCTGGCGTTACATGATTATTCTTCTAACATTATGGCTACTAATTTTAGGCTACATGGGCTGGCATTTGTTCGTTCTTGTCGATGATTCTAACAAGAATCGAGACACACTTGTTCGAAAAGAGAAACATGTGGAACTTCTACAGTCACAAAATCAAAAGCTCAAGGAAATAGTATCAGATCTCCAGGCCAAGGTAGATCTTTTTCAAAGCAAAGATAGCGTAAAGGACAAAAAATATAAGGAAGCAATCAAACGCATTCAAGATGCTAGTCAACGAAAAGTGGCTGCAGCTGAGAGAGCATCGCGCCAAATTTCACCACACATTGATAATTCACAAACCAAACTTTCTACTACCCTTACAACATTAGATGAAGAGAATCTCAAGAGAAGAATAGAATATGAGGTCAAGGAATTGTGGTATTATGCGAGTGCCCAGATAACAAAAGTTATAAAAAGATCCGATTCTTCGACGAGCAAACGAATGACAAATATTTTATCAAATATTGAAATGCTGCATCATTATTTGAGCAACGACCTGGAAAAATTAAAATCTATGAAACGTGAATGGCAAGAAAAAGAACACAAACAGCTSAGCGAACTAGTGCAGCAGAGAATAGATAAGCTCCAAAATCCCAAAGACTGTGCTTCCACAAAGAAACTGATATGTCAATTGAATAAGAGCTGTGGTTATGGCTGTCAGGCACACCATGTTTTATATTGTTTCATTATAGCGTTTGGGCTTCAGAGAACAATGATCATCGATTCAACGGGCTGGAGATATTCCTCAAAAGGATGGAAAGGAGTTTTTCTTCCTATCAGCAAAACGTGTTTGCAACACACTGGTACTTTAAAAGACTGGAGAGAGTCCAACACACATCAAAATGTAATCTTGCCAATTGTTGATAGTTTGTATCCCAGACCACCTTACATGCCTCTAGCTGTACCAGAAGATTTGTCCAACAGACTGTCAACAATGCATGGTCATCCATTTGTATGGTGGATTGGACAATTTGCTAAATATTTATTCCGATATGCTCCAGAGGTGCAAAAAGAAATTGATGCYAAGAAAGCAAAATTGGGATTTCAACATCCAATTGTTGGGTAAGTGGAATAGACAATTTAGGGGATATGCAACCATTATAGTTGCARTATTTGTGAGGTATTTTCAGGCTAAAATGTCATCGAGCTTCAGCACTCTGCCAACAAATACCTCATGTTCATTTGCATGCCTGTGATATTTTTGAAAGCACCTACATATCCCCCAAAATCCTCTGTTTGCTGGACTGTTGACATGTCCAGTGCAATACAATATCTGAAATGTTTAGCACTTGCTAACAACAATTTTCATATAGAATAGGTAAACGGAAGGAGGAAATATTAAGATAATAGATACTCAAATGTATGTGACTTTATTTTCTTTTTGATTTTGAACATAACTTTTTTTGTGCACATTTTAAGTAAAGGTGTTGAGTTGTGCTTTTGTTATAGACTGGATTTKCTAACATTACCTTCATATATCAACTGTGATATTAGCTGAATGCAACAGAATCTTTAAGAGAATAAYAGAAGTAATTTAGCTGGTGTCTCAGTTTGATAGCAGGTTTGCACTTCACTTCAATATTTTATTTATAAAAATGTCATTTTACTGCCTCTCTAGTCAAAATATTATTTTGGCTTTGGAAGTTAGTTATTGGCTATTAGAAGTTCCTTTTTTTTTCTATAATTAGACCTGTAGTGTCTAATAGTAGTTAGATCCATTTTAAATAAGCTCGACTATTTTTTTAGTAAAATGTAAACTGTGATCCTTTTTGTCAATATTGTTCTTGAACAGTCAAAAATAAGCTGTTATCTTAAAAAGCAGAAATTTTTAGTAATAATGATTATGAATTTCTTTTGTCTGTTTGTTGAATGTATCATTAGAATCTGACAGACTGCACTAAATAATTAAAATGATTGATTATGATGACAATTACCATTGGAATAGATAAGATGTTTGGATCTTATTTCCAATAAATCTTAATTTTACACATTTACACATTGTTTTAGTAGTGCAATCCATTGAGTCTGAAAATATTGCAACACCTATATTTCAACTCAAACCTTAATAAAGACTGTCATTATTAACATTCAATCAAGAATCCACATTGGAGACCAATTATTTTAGATAATATAYACATCAGTACAATTATATATTAATTGTAATCATATTTATCTGTCTTGCCACAAATTATTATTGGCAAAAAGGGTTAAATAAGTTAAAATATTAATAACACTATGCGTTAATTAAAGATACTGCCATTATCAATTTGAAAAACAGTTTTTAGACCTTCTTGTATCATTTTTTCAGCTATTTTATATGAACAGAGTGGTATCAATCTGTATTTTAGAAAAAATAGAATGATATTGAAAAAAATTAGAGCTTCAAGTTTTTATTGCTGGGGATGTTGCTAGGCAAACCTGAAAGGATGAAACATGAAAAGAGAACCCCTGTCATGTTTTTTAATTTGAAAATGACAACTTCAGCATATGAATCAACACATAATCTTTGGTTTAATCTTATATTATTGCATAAATTAACACACAGGTGAAAAGGATTTCAATCCATTTGTGTTGAAATCTCTAAATTGGTTCTTAAAATAAGTCTAAACATTGTACCACAATTATTAGATACATGCAACCATTGGATAATTMATAAATTATGTATATTGCTAAAAATGGATGTAGTACATTGTGTTCACACAAAAATGTATAATAAACCTGTTTTTAAAGTCTTCAATTCAATTATAAAACACTTCTCTTTGAAGTTCAAATTATTGCCTATTTTTGTCTTGTTATATATATTCATTATCCATGAAATAAATRTTGCTAATTGCTACGTAATAAAACAGTAGGAAACAAATATGAACAAGTTGTTAATAGCGCTAAAGTTTAGTAGGGATTGATGAGCAGGTTTAATCTATCTAATTCATGATGTTTAATTGACTAGCTTTATAACCTCTGAGCCACTTAACCACATTTGCCAAGATGATCATGTTTCCATGACGCACTTTTACCATGGTTATTATCAGTTGACAAACCATTTCAGCAAATGTTTATTCATAATAATTATCTTTTTCAATAGTCTTCAGGTCAGACGGACAGACAAAATAAACACAGARGCTGCATTTCACTCAATAGAAGAATACATGTACTGGGTGAAACTTTACTATGAAAGAAGATCAAAAGTAGAGAAAATTGACACAAAGAGAGTTTTTCTGGCAACAGATGATCCATCAGTTTTACCGGAGGCAAAAGAGAAGTAAGTGTTTTATAATAATTATGTAGATCTGTTTTTCCAGTGAACACACRGTCTCTCTAGCTGAAGAGAAACTACATCATACACATCAGGAGCATTTATGTTTTTATCTATTCTTGGGTTTCATGTGATGTCACAAAAATAATATAATGTAATATGCGTTGTATAATGATAAAAGCTATATATGTTATAACTAAGTGTTTTATAAAGATATACCAACAAGGTTGTTTATATTTATGTAATTATTCTTTGGTTGTTATATTCTTGAGATATTGAAGCTTATGTCACKCAACACCATCACAGGACTATGAAAACCAAGAATAATTGATGTGCATAAAATGTTTTTTCTCAAATCCAAATACATTATAACAAAAAATGCCAAGTAAAAATCAAATTTCTCTCATTGTAAGTCTTTGAATCCAGACAATGGTCAGATGTTGACCACCTTCTTGAATTCTCCCTGCATTTTTACTCAAGTTTGTGCATTTTCTGTTGCAAATTATTCTGCAACCAAATATGATACAATTTTAAAATTGTGTCAAATTATGACGTTTTTTATGCACTAAAAGGATTTGAATGTCATATTTTAATTCAAGTAAAAAARTAAATCTGATGGCATAATTGAAACCCAATAATTTCTTTCCTTTTAATTAATTCATAWATATTGCATCAATCATCTTTCTAGTTTCAATAACTAAAATAGGATATAATGTATCATCTTGAAAGTGCGATTTTAACATTACTGTAGTTTTTTTAATTACGACAGATAATTATTGTTCATATTTTTCCCATTATCAGATATCCAGACTATGAGTTTGTCAGCGATGTTGGTATATCTAAATCAGCTGGACTGGGTTCTAGATACACAGATACCTCTCTTCATGGGGTTATATTTGATATCCARATGCTTTCAGAGTGTGATTTCTTAGTGTGTACCTTTTCATCACAGGTAAAGATATCTTTGAATAATATAAAGCTAAATAACAATTAACATTGTGAGTCTGCCAGTTTTAATAGGCCGATTATGACATAACTTTACTACAACTACCAGAGAGGCTTGCGTATTTTCATTRTTATTCAGATTTTTAATCCCCTTGGAGATTAATAAAACAATTGGCACTAATTGCATTACAAAAGAAAGTTGGCAAAGCATTCTGGTAGTTGTAGTAAATGACGCCATAATGCACATCGCCTATTTTATCAATTTTCAGTTTTTCACATGATCACACAGCAGCCATATTAATGTACATAAAATGGCATTAGATATCATAGTATGTTGGCTACTTCTGTCTTTTACTATCTTGAGGTTTTTGTTGCTTTGAATTCAAAAGAAAATGTTTACTTTGAACTCTTTTAGGTCTGTCGACTTGGYTATGAGATAATGCAATCMAAACACCCAGATGCATCCAAGTATTTTCAATCTCTTGATGACATTTACTATTTTGGTGGGCAAAGTGGCCATAATGTCCGAGCTATAGTATCTCACACCCCTGAAAACCAAGATGAAATTAGTCTTGAAGTTGGTGATCTTATTGGCATTGCTGGGAATCACTGGGACGGATACTCCAAAGGACATAATTTCAGGACTGGTCAAGTAGGATTGTACCCATCATGGAAAGTTGAAGAAGTTTTGGAAACAGCTAAGTTTCCAACCTATGATGACTAAGTCTAGTTTTTAACTGTTTACAATAGCAAATTTAGTATTTCCAATTGTTTAAAGTTTTACAATCAATGTTGAGAGCAGCAGGTGTTTGTTTTCTGTAGAATTAGCAATTATTACATCAAAAGAACTTCGAGGAACTGTAGCACAAATCAGCAAGCTATTCCCAGTAGTCCTTAAAGAGTCCTCTAAGTGAGACAACAATCCARGACAGGTTCCTGCAAAGTTGCAGTGATAGATACCATCTTTCACTCCTCCTATAATTTGCTGTTATTTATCAATGCAAACTCGCCAATCATCTCACTTCAGCAAAGTGAATTGTGAAGGGGTGATGGAGTATTACAACTTATAAAACATGTGTTCAAGCTAAAACTTTTAAGTTTATTCTTAAAAGAATATTAACAAACAACATTGTCTCTAAAATAATGCTAAAAAAATCTGGCATGAGGGCTAAGATAAGCTGCAAAGATTTATTTTTAATACGAAACTGATAAATGAATAAAAATTAATATAATAAACCTATCAAATGAAGTTTTGAAGATCTGCAATTACTTTATTAATACTCATAAAATATGCACGTTTTCTTGTTATAACGTTTTTGTAKTGCAATTTGAAGTCTACTCTGAACAAGGCTTAAAAGTTGGTTATCAAATTGAATAGCTATTTGTATTTCTCTTTTTGCTAATAAATTGCAGTTTCAAGAGGCACTTTGCAACAGTCAAATAGAGTTGTCATGGTATAGACTGGAGATTTTGGATATCATGTATAGAAATGGAATTGCGATCTTCAGTAGCCAGCGTGCAGTCAGTTAATATTACTATACACTTCAATGACATTGCATTATTTTATATTATATATATATACTTTTTAATACAATTCCAACAAAGCTGGGGAAGTGGGTGGCCCTATTGCTATGCCACTGTGGCTGTCTACAGTTTTGTGTACATGTCAACTGTCTCAGTTGTCATACATCAGTTTATTTGATCAGTTAGTTTACAGTTTATCTTATTTCTGAAAATGTTGTTTCTAAGATCTAAGACAAGTTATAATATCAACAATATCTGMATTAAAATTTTGTTTCACAATATTTTCATGAAAGTACAGAGTGCAAACRCTAAAACTTTGAAAACGATTAACCAAATAGTTCAATATAAAAATCTATAGTGTAGATTTGACAATAGAAATCAAAGGAATTTTGCATAATCCAGTACAATTTAATTAGCGCTACTTAATTAATAAAAGTTTTTCATTGTTTTAGTGTTTGCACTCTAATATACAATGTATTTTCTCTTAGTTCTAATAAATAATACAATTAAAAAATAGGTTTTAAAATATATTATTAAACTTAAACTTAAAAACTATTGAAATAACTTTAAAAATTGATCTTCTTTTGTGTTTTTAATAAATTATTTTTAACTAAAATTCTAATGTCCTATCTCTCTATGACAATTTTTTGCAAATTATAATAATGATAATCTATTCGCCTAATATAGTTCATTAAATGTTCTTCAATGCTCGGAAAAGAAGTGCCACACGAGCCTACAATCTCCTTTGCAGACTTTACCCSACAAACCCCTGACTGAGAAAATGTTTTATTCATCAACATCACCTGGCCATGGCAACTCGACTGGAAGGCCAGATGCCTTGAATTTCCAACATGCTTGATCCAACCRTTCATCAACGCCAAACACCACTCAATGTTGGGCTGTCCAACATTTGTTATTTGTCAGGGGCTTAACTCTGTTATAAATCAACTAATCCAGTTYTATCAACAGATATTTTGATGAATAACGTATTTTCTATAACGTAGCTGTCCAGAGTTCTATGTGATACAAATTTTGGCGTCCCTGAAGCAATGTTCATCGAGCTTTTTGGTTTCTGGAAGCTAGAACTGTTCGGGTCTGGACGAAAACAGTCAGTAAGATCATTCATTCGATTTGGATCTATTAACCGAAAGGTTACTTTCTGACGAAATGGCCAAGACAAAAGAGCGTCGTACTCGCCTTTCATCACCACAAAGAACATAGAAAGGTGTGTTCCTTTACCAATCCCATCCCCACAGGGGTATAGACGTCCACATACTTTATACCCAGAACGACCCACGTAAAATGGAGGGCTGTATAGTGAAGTTGTCTTACCAATCTTTGCATCGTGAATTCTTTGAGACCAATTGTCGATTTTCCAGATGTAAGAACCGTCGTATGACGTCGCTTCTAGCATCTGTATTCTAAGATCATGTTCTGCAATGCWGATYTCGGTAGTTGCGCACATGTGCTCAATCTTGGAAATGCGTCGGTCGTTACCGTATGAACTGCTCAAAGACCTGAAACCTACGCCAAACTCGTCTTGAATGCTCAAGTCGTTAATCCTTTTCTCTTGATTGCGTAAAAGTGYATAAATCTCCTCCAGCTGGGTTTGCATTGCAGTTTGGCTTTCTATTTCACTTGGCTCTTTTTGCTGTATTTCTTGCAGTTGAATAATACTCTTCTTTTGTTGATCCATGTGTTTTTCCAAGATTCTGATCTTGCTTTGCAAAGTTTGGAAGTCTTGCTTGGTTAACGCAAGGACTTGGTTGGAGTCTTGGAGTTGACGATCGAGAGCATCTTTCTCAGACTTGAGAGATTGTATTYGTTCTTCCAGCTTCTTCGASTTTTCAGAAGMCTTAGAATTGTATTCAGCCATGATTTGAATGTGTTTTTCCAGACAGTCAGTATCATGTTTCTCAAGATCTTCTCGAGTTCCCTGAAAAMAAATGAAAACAAATTTTATTCCAGTGAAAAGCTTGTTACCGGGTTAACGCAAATTTAATACCGCAAAAGCGAACATGTGAAGATGGACAGACAGATGGGCTGGCTGGCGAAAGGATACACAAAAGAAGGAAAGATCCTGGTAAGACAGTAGGAATGTCTACATTTCATTCCACTTACTTTGAAATTGCATCCGTGTTGATACAGAGAGCAAAATACAGGAGCTTTGGAGCATTCATGGGTCACGTGTCTTTCCATGTCTTTTCGATACAGYGACGCACCACACCCCATAGTACAGGGTACCAGTACTCCTGCGCATTTTGATTGATGTTTCTAATAATAGATACAACCAACTTAGTCATTACATAAGCACATCGTCATCATGAGACATCATCATCAGACAATGACAAGGCAAGTCATCATGGGATTTCATCGTCATCACGTGACATCATGACGTCATCACATGACATCATGACGTCATCACGTGACATCATGACGATGCAATTTTGAATCACGTGACACTCACTCACGTTCATATAATGAGACCACACACGAGTGACAGGTGAGAAAGGTCTCCTCACAGTTAAAAAAGGCTTATGTAGTCATCATATTAAAACGCAGTTAAAACAATACTCTACTATATTGCGCATACCTCCACATCAACCTGAGCAATCTGTTCTTCACAGTTCTCGCACGTGTGCAATCTATAATCGCAGTGATTTGTCAAGTGATCTTGTAGACATCGTTTTTCCATAGTAGCGCTGCAGCCTTYGTTTGGGCACWYGACCGATGTAYGTTCACACTTACTGATATGTTCCTGTAGAATGAAAATTAAAATTAGCCATTGCAGAATTATTATAGTTTTTAATATTCAGTCCATACTACAGTAAACTATTGCTATTACGGACACCCTCGGGGCAGTAATTTAGTGTCMKCAGTAGCGAGAGTCCGTASTAACGGGAGTTACTTTCAGTCATTTCTTTGTATTTTTCGCCGGTGATTCCGTATTTCGTGTCCGTAATATCGAGGTGTCCGWAATAGCGGGGTGTCCGTAAGACGAGAGTTGACTGTATTAACTTTCGACACGCCACWCGTTTTAAATGAAATAGTCCGTACCGGATTGAGGCATRCAACCAGTTATCCGGGCTGTCCTTGCTTGGTGGCCGGTCTGCTAACGAAATTKTGTTAGTACCGGCCTATGTGTATCGCAAAAGATASTCTAGATAGGTACTTTATTGGAAATTCAAAAGCATATTCACATCTACACGTATTCGGAGCATTTTTAAGCATTTCCACAACGGATCTGTAGACGTTTGAGCGAAACCCKCGAGTGCATGAATAACGCTTTGTGGATCAAAAATGGTCGACTACGTGTGGACGAGGTAAAACTTACCTGTAGCCCGGATAATATAATATATAGGAGGTTTTTTGTGTTAGCGAGGTCCGATTGATAAAAAGTCCAACAGTATTAGAAATGGGCGTCTTACGGCACAGTGTGGCTTATGTTGTCTATTCGAAAAATACTGCATGCACGAACCTCATAGTACAGATGGCTTACCTTCAAAGATCCAAAGTCCCCTTCCCAATCACATCCTTTCTTTGAGTTTGGACAGAAGCATTGTAACGATAGTATATCTCTCTCACAGCATTTATCTGGAAAGGTGTCTTTTAAGTCAAGTTCAATCTCGTCGATTGGACACCGAGGACGTGCGTTTGGCGAGCGCCTTGAATTAAGGAAAATGACAGCAGGTGAATTCTATAGAACTACATAGATATCTAAATAAATATCTGATGGTATTTCTGGAAAATTACAGAGGGACTTTTTGAAAACAAACTCGATTTCCAAGGGATTTTGAAAAGTGTAGTTTCTCTTTCATCTTCGGTTTCGGAATTACTAAAAGAAAGTGAAATGGAAAAATCCCCTCGATTTGAATTATATTCAGGGAATTCCCCTGACACCAGTCATTCTGACTACTTCTGACACATGGTAACCACTTGTTGAGAATTTATAGCTGTTACATGATTACTATTTTTAATTTGTTACTACTTAAGAGCGGTAAACCTGCCAAATGCTTTAGCATATTACACTTTATTTATCTTTATTTTGCACTTGTTCCTTTGTGCTTTTCGAATGAATGTCATAGTATACATTTTATATAATTACATCTTGACTATTGCATATAGCTTGCGAGAAGCCGAACCGCAAAACGTGTGTTTCGAATCGACTGTACGCAGACAGATATGCTTAAATTGTTTCACGTCGAATTAATGAAAAACATAAATTTATCCTCAAAACAACTCAAAAACACGGTACTGTATATGTTTTTATACGTTTTGAAGGCTATGAAATACTACAAGAGTATAAAAGATCAACATGAAGTTAACCAAGGGGAATACCCTATAGTGAAATGAGGCACCAAAATAAATAACTAGATTCCGTGACGATTCTAACTAGTTTATGAATGATCATAAACAAAAACGTTCGCTCTCAGATCAATCAATTTGGAATATAAATTGGTCTCGCAAAGTTGTAAAAAACAAGTATTAAAAACCAGGAATAGTTTTGTCTGTACAACGTCTCCCTATATTTCTGCTAACCTATCACATTATATTCGTTTATAGTGGCTATATACTAATAGTTGTATTGTACTGNGTTCCTTTGTGCTTTTCGAATGAATGTCATATATACATTTTATATAATTACATCTTGACTATTACATAGCTTGCGAGAAGCCGAACCGCAAACGCAAAACGTGTGTTTCGACTGTACACAGACAGATATGGTTAATTGTTTCACGAATTAATGAAAATCAGTCTGCTTATCCTAAAACAACTCAAAAACACGGTACTGTATATGTTTTTAAAGTCTATAGTGAAATGATGCACCAAAAGTAATAATTCGATTATGGCGATTCTAACTAGTTAATGCGGAATGATCATAAGCAAAAAAGTTCGCTCTTACTCAGATCAATCAATTTGGAATATAAATTGGTCTCGCAAAGTTGTAAAAAACAAGTATTAAAAACCAGGAATAGTTTTGTCTGTACAACGTCTCCCTATATTTCTGCTAACCTATCACATTATATTCGTTTATAGTGGCTATATACTAATAGTTGTATTGTACTGTATTGTATTGTACTATATGATTTCTTGGCTATGTGTTGAGTGAAGCCTTGCTTTTCAGGCAGAGTCCTACAGAGTATAAGATATACTTACTTTGTTAATGTTGTCAGGCAGTTTTCACAGATCCTGTGCCCACATGAAGTCTGCTTAGGTTTGTGAAGAAGATTGTTACATACAATACATTTGTAACTCGGATCAAGTTGTTTTACGAACACTATTTTCTGCTCATCAAAATGAATAACTTCATCCATATTACGACACATTTTAAGTCTTGATGGAACTGACTTTACGATCCTTGTTTGCCTTAATGCCGGTTTACACCTTCGAAACTCTGTGATTACTATCGACTTCTAGAGTTTTGATCTTTTATACTGAGTAGATGACGTCATATTGATGACATATTCGTGACTATTCGGGAAAACCCCAGAAAAAAACCGTGACATGAAAGTGACCTGCATGGCGTGATGTGACGCAATCTGTCTTCAGTAATCTACCAGCCAGTTACTAGTGAAAAACTATTACCATCGCTAAAAAGAATTGCCTAAAATTAGTTTATTTACCATGTTATTTTTTCGAAAAAATAATCTGCTCCAAAGACTAAAGAACATATTATGACGCATCGACATGGTTGATTGACTGGTCAAGGTCACCATAAATTTCACAACTCTTTGTCATGGTCACCATAAATTTCACAATCTTTGTAAATTGGTGAGTTTGAGGAGCTTTATCTTTTCGAATTCTTGACGTATTATTCTCAAACTTCTTATATTTGCTAATCGTAGAATGGTAATTTCATGGCAATATTTTCATTGAATGAATTTCTCTACTTCGTGAAATTGCTTACAGGATGAATTAGCTTTATCAGACCAGTGGCGGCAATTATATCCGGGGATTCCCCCACTCACGACATTTTTGTCACAAGCCCGGGATGCAACGCAGTCTACCCCACCACAACTTTGACCTATTATAAGATTCATCATGCTAGAACGCATGAATATAGTTTATACGAAAAAAGGGGTTTATAACGGATGACTCAGTTCTAGACGGGATTAAATGGTCGCCTTTTTGGTACTTAACCGGAAATGGAAAACAATTTTTTATAACTTCAAACAATCCCTTAATTACCCTGCGAACAGAGTGTTTTTTACCTTACCTCAATAAAATTCGCGAATGAAAAGCGGGGTAAAGTAAATGAAACTCTGTTCGCGGAGTAACAATTTCTTTTCCTCTAGATGATACCGGAAACTAGACTGATAAAGATTACATTACTACTTACTCATCATACCACATACCTATTTCAAAAAATCTATTCCGGAGGAATGAACAACGGCTATTGACGAACGGAGAATGCATGACAGAAAGGATCTGTGGCTACACTGTTTGGCATGCAAAATTCCAGTTGTTGGGTTGAAAATTGTGTGTTTTCTACATAGTTTGCGAAAAAAGGTATGGCTGAGTGCTTTTTGGAAAACATAGAATGACAGATATTACGAATATCACTTCGTTAATGTTACGGTGATGACAAGCTCATTAAGGAAGTGCTGTATCTTCAATTTTCAGTCACAGTCGTGCCTGGGGACATACTTCCCGCCACCTATAAGCGCCAGTCACGTATTTGCAATCTCGAACGTGCGCTTTTTTTGTAGGTGAGTGCTCAGTAGTGAGAACTGCGAGATATTGAGTATTTTTTATTCAAGACTTTATGCTTAACAATTTCCGACAAGAACGAGATTTTCATTTTAAAAGTAATAATATAACAGTGAAAGAGAGTAACGGACAAAATATAGCGAAAAACTATATACTCCAAGACTTAAATAATATACGAAATCCAAGCCTGCAAACATCCGGTTTATTTTCAAAATTACTATGCTGGATGAAACTCAGGCTAACAAAATCCGAGATTTCTGTCATTTTGCAAAAGTTATCATCGCTGTAGTACCTACCTTCATCCTTACATTCTACACCGAGGCCATATTTATCACATATCCGCGCCACAGACCTGTGGAATCCGTGTTTTCAGAGCAGTATTACTTGAGCGGTCTTTTTAACAGTAACATGTTGGAAGGTTAGAGTTCGACTCTCGTCAAACCATCAATGCTTGTCTTGTTTAAACCCTAATCATTATCAAAGTCTGCCATATAATAGTAACATAACTATCACAATGGCATAGGAGTTTTGTCACCATCGGTCTTTGTTTTTTTAATATCAGATGCCATTTTTCTAGTAGTTCGTTTTCCGGATAATAACTCATCAGTCTATAATTACAAAAAGTTACGACTCGATATATTTTCCCAAAAAGCGAGTAACGGGGCATGAAAAGGAAATGGGCATTACCCTGATATAAAAACCTTTCTACTTCCGCACTGGGGTTTTCCGTTTTCTGCTTACCGCCATATATTTTTCCCCGAACTATACTTTCGAGATTCTTACGACGCAAAATCGAGCGAGCTCCGATTGGCAAACCTGGCTTATTCACATAACAATGAGGGATTTCCATTATCGAAGCAATTTGTATTGGATATGACGTATGTTCCTTTTGTCATATTCAATTCTTTTAATCTAAAATAGCCGAGTTTAGATATTTTGGTTCAGTGACCATGCACAAAAGAATTGCAGACGAGGCTCCGGGGAAATAAAGAATAAAACGATATTATACGCTCTTTTATTGGTCATTTTGAAGCGTGCACTTCAAAATAACTCTTTGCAATATTAAAAAAAAACTAGACGCCCCTGGGGCGTGAAGTCGGACTAGCTATTTTTGCTGCGAACGAAGTGAGCAGCGACACTAATCTCGCAGGCCTCTTGGGGTCCCTGTGCCATACATACATACTGAAGGCGAAAGTCGATTTCGTGGGCTAGCGATAGACACTTCGAGCCTACAGTAAACATTACATAATCAGCGGTTATTATCAAATGATGCGCCGTAAACTGCATGGTCTTTCTATTGCTTTTCGATCTCTTGCAACGGCAAGTTCGACAAGTATTTAGCATGTTAAATGCGACTTTATTTATTCGAGGAAGTATTTATCAAGGTGATAATCGTTTTAGCGACATTTCTAGAGGAAGGGAATGTGCTTTTATGAGTCTTTCAGCTTTGTTATCTGCACATTGTGATGATATTTCGACGTGGACGACAAATACGATGGATTGTGTTTTGGCCGAATGAGATCTTTTTAACAGCATTCGAGAAGCGCTCTATGCCTGATGAAGAGACTATTTCTCTGAATTATCTGTAATAAAGTGAACATATACGTTCTAATCTTGTTTCTTTTTGCCATGTATTCTCCCTCCATAAAATCAAATAAACCTAAAACAAATTTGAACAAGCATCACAGAATTTACATATCGCAGCACTTCACTTTAGATAGGAACCGCTAGTTGAAAATTGATAGACACGAGTGAAAAGATTATGATGTTATATTTTGTCTAATCATATGATATTAAGAATGTAAATGAAACTTGAGAAAGACAGCAGGATATTACATAAAAGATAAAAATTAGATTAAAATGTATATTTCTTAATTTTTCTCCAAAATAGCCGAACTCACGGTCTAATAAGACCGTCTTGTTCAAGATATCCAAACTCTCTTGAGACTAAAATAAACTTGCCCTTAAAGGTCATGTAATTGATACCAGCAATGAAAGTTTAAAGTAGTTCTTTCACTGATAAAATCAAACGTTGGTATGTAGATTATGTGATGCTAAGTGAACGTTGATGTCTCGCTAAGTGATATCATGATGACCTCTCAGGCAAAGAAAATAAAAACTTTACAAGGAAAAAGATGCCTATAAAATCATTAAATTCGCCTTTCTATTTTTGATAAACAAAGTTTCTTCTTGTTCTAATTTGAAATCTTTGCCCCCACAAGACTGTCTAACACTAGACAGGATATTGATTCAGTCTTGTAAGCATACAACTCGAAACTCTATGCGATCTGCACATGCGCGTACTTCTAATGCCTAGACAGATGCATTCCGATGAGATCACAGATACCACATTTGTAAACGAATAGTTTTTTTGTCATATAAAAGCCAAGTAGCATATAACATTTACTAACGGTATTCGTACATCAATACGCTTGAGCTTCCGGTCATGTAATAACACAGCCAACCCAATAGCTAATTATTAAATTCTTAACTTCCGGTGGTCCAAACGCGACATGACACACAGATAGATTGGCTAAAAGGTAATTTTAAAGTCGGACACGCCTTCGGCTAGTCCGACTAATAAAATTATCAATGGATAATCTTGATTTATTCTTTATTTCCCCGGAGCCTCGTCTGCAATTCTTTTGTGCATGGTCACTGAACCAAAATATCTAAACTCGGCTATTAACGTATAATATTTTGTTCATTTCAAGGCTAGTAGTGAAACCAGATTTGTATTTGTATAGGCATTTGAGTGTAATTTTCTTCTCCTTGTCGCGTGCCATACATCCTGACCGGTTAGGTGGGAGAATGCCCGACAGATCCTTTGATCGACCACTGTTAAATACGTTCAAATGTCCAACCATGGCGTATGATATCAACTGACTTTTAATTATACGATTATGGTTTTGCACAAATACAATAAATGTTTTCTTAAGTAAGATAAATACTATTGTAACATTCCTCCCCGTACAAAAAATGGTATCAGGAAAAAAATGGCTAAAGAATAATGTTTCCGAATCAAATATAATAAGGCATAAGGTTTCAGTGCACTGTAATGTTCTTCATTCTACATATCAAGTTAATATAATTTGTACTGTTTTTCTTTTTCTTTAGTAATGTTATTACATCACAATTTTTACTTATTAAACTCTACTATAGATCATACTTTCAAAATTATATTATACTGATCAGTTCTTGGTCTTTATAGTGATACACTGGACAGCGAGTCGGCTATGGCATTGTCCTTTCCTTTCATGTGCTTTATCACGAGGTCGTACTCTTGTAGTACCAAAGACCATGCCAACAAACTCCGATTCTTGTTCCTCATCTTTGATAAACGTCAATGGATTATGGATTATGATCAGTGTAGACCTCAATAAAGTTCTGCTTCAAAACAACCAACGTAGATCTCACAGTACTGCAAAGCTATCAGCAAGGCTAAACATTCTTTTTCGATTGTTGAGTAGTTTCTCTGTGCAGGCTTGAACTTCTTGGAGAAATAGCTGACGGGGTGGTCAATTCCACTGTCATAGTCTTGCAGTAGTACTCCTCCGCAATCGGCATCACTCGCGTCTACCATCAGCTCGAAAGGTCGTTCTTTGTAAAGTTTCCGCAAAACTTTCTGTAGTATCCGGCCATTCCAAGGAAACGCAAGAGTTGTTCTAGAGTCGTGGGGACTGGAAACTGGACTAGGGCTTCGACTTTGGCTTGCACTGGCCTTACCTTACCCTGCCTAACTTCGTGCCCTATGAGTACGTGATAGTTGCTCTTCAAAAATCAAACTTCGCCGCGGATGTTAAACTTCTGAAGACGTCCTCCAGCCCATATGATCCTGCCAATTATAATGATAGAGAACTATATCATCAATATATACATCGCAGTTGGATATACTTACTATTACATTATTCATTAATCTCTGAAACGTAGCAGGCGCATTCTTGAGACCAAATGGCATTACTCTGTTCTGAATCGTCTTGGGGTAACAAAAGCGGAGATTTCCTTTTCTCTTTCAGTCAGCGGTATCTGCCAGTAACCTTTTAATAAATCAATCTTAGGAATATTAGTAGCATGACCAATTTGATCAATGCAGGTTTCAATATGAGGTACTGGAAACGAATCAATCAATCAATCCTCTTCATCCCCTGTGGAACATAAGGCCGCAATCTGATGGGCTCCCATTCCAACAAGGTCTTATACATATCGTCTTGTACACAATGATTGCGACTCCATGTTCATGCTTGCATGGTAGGGTGTCCTGAGAAGAGGATGACTGCTCCATTGCTTGTTACTTGTTCACCCACGCCTGTCCATCTACACCCGCTTACTGATTCCAAGAATGTCTAGTTGGTAATTCTCCATTTCCTTGAGGAGCTGTTTTGGATGCGTACATAGTCCCAACGTTCCATGTCCCCAGTCGTATTTTGTTCTTAGGCCCAACTATGTTGTTCATCCCCATTCTGACTTCCAGTAGCCTTTCATCAGCAGTTGTCATTCTTCAGGAGGTTTGCATACATCAACAGGTGGGCCTTCAGCATTAGTTTCTACAGTTGCGTTGGTTTCCGTAACATAAGTTTTTTAACAGGGTTGAGTTGTTAACCCAACGCCAAACCCACAACCTGGAGGACCAGGGAGTCACTCTTTGTCAGGACCTACCATTCGACCTGTTCGGCATGGGTGACCCCAACAGGAACCTATGGCTCCAGCCGATATAGCTCTAGGGGTCAAAGGGGCACGCAAGCCGCACCACTACGTGCAAGGTGACAACTCCGTCGGTGCAGATTGGAAACGAATCAGTTTTGGTTAATTCATAGACTTTCCTAAAATCTGTACAAAAACGAAAGGAACGATCAGGTTTTGGTACTAAAATACATGGACTGCTCCAGCTGCTTTGACTAGGCTCAATAATATCATTCCGTAACATGCATTCAACTTCTTTGTTCCATTTGTACAGATTACGTTTGTACGGTGCTTAACAGGTGCTGCATCTCCTATCTAAAAGTGTCGTGATAGGCAGCATCAGCTCTACTTGGGACATCAGAAAATAGCTGCTTATTGTCTAGGATAAGTTTTGCTAACTCACCACAATACTCTTCCGGTAAATGAGAAAGTTTATCTTGCAGACTGTCTAGAATTTGCGAGTTCGGCAGCCGTGGGGCTTGTTGCGATATTTTCATACTCCAATCTTTCTTCTTGTACGCCTTCTCCCTGCAAATAACTAGATAAAACTGTTTCCTCTCTTTCATTTTCAAAGAAACGTTTTAACATATTAACATGGCAAAGTCTAGTGATATTACATCGATCAGGAGTGCTAATTATATAATCAGTGTCACTAACCTTCTTGACAATATTGTAGTGTAGGGAAGATGAGTAACTTGTATTTAGTTCGAATTTAGTGAATGATTTGTAACGGATAGCAACATTTAAGAAGTTTGTCAGTCACCAGGTTTAAAGACGCGTTGTCTGGATTTGCGGTCATACCACGTTTTCATGCTGATTTGTGACGATTCAAGGTTCTTTTTGGCGTAATTACAGGCTTTACGTAGGCGGTCTTTGTAAGTAGAAACAAAGTTGAGTATAGATTCATATCTGCGCTGAGGTTAAGCAAACTGTCTTTATTCAAACGGACTAAATCCAAGGGATTCTTGGACAACGTCTCCGGCGCACTCCAAACAGCAATTAAAGTCGCTCAAGGAGCGCATGTGGTTACTCCTAATACGTTTAGATTTGCCATATAATTGGATGATTTTGTGTTTAAAAAAGAGAAATTCATATGCTAATGAGGTAAAATTTACATAAGCAAAGATTTGCGTGTTTTTATTCACGCAATGAAAATTATTATTTGCTTGTTTTTTGTAAAGAACACTAGACGATCTCAGATCGCATGCGTGGGCTTCCTGTGGTAATCTGAATAATGGTATACACTCTTGGTGATAAGATTATTGAACAAGTTCATTTATCAAACTCATTAATAATTCATGAGCTATTAATCCAATCAGGATCAAGCATTAAGTCACATGATTGAATCTATATCAGCCGATATAGAACTGATTAATAAAACATTAGTACTGTTTGAAAACAAGAGGTCTTACAACCTTGGCGATCCAACCCTATCTCATGTGGAGGGGTCCTTTGGCTCAATGTACAAATAGCCCATTTTCGATATTCTGGTTGACCAGGCATACAAAAGAAATGAAGGCAAGGCTCCAGGGAACCTACTGTTTCCCATTCTGTCTTCAATGTGTTGTTAGTCCGACTAACAACACATTGAAGACAGAATGGGAAACAGTAGGTTCCCTGGAGCCTTGCCTTCATTTCTTTTGTATGCCTGGTCAACCAGAATATCGAAAATGGGCTATTTGTACATTGAGCCAAAGGACCCCTCCACATGAGATAGGGTTCGATCGCCAAGGTTGTAAGACCTCTTGTTTTCAAACAGTACTAATGTTTTATTAATCAGTTCTATATCGGCTGATATAGATTCAATCATGTGACTTAATGCTTGATCCTGATTGGATTAATAGCTCATGAATTATTAATGAGTTTGATAAATGAACTTGTTCAATAATCTTATCACCAAGAGTGTATACCATTATTCAGATTACCACAGGAAGCCCACGCATGCGATCTGAGATCGTCTAGTGTTCTTTACAAAAAACAAGCAAATAAATAATAATTTTCATTGCGTGAATAAAAACACGCAAATCTTTGCTTATGTAAATTTTACCTCATTAGCATATGAATTTCTCTTTTTTAAACACAAAATCATCCAATTATATGGCAAATCTAAACGTATTAGGAGTAACCACATGCGCTCCTTGAGCGANAAAAAGGTTTGCAAGAAACTATTAGCTTATGGACGAATTGCGACAGCGTCATGTACCGCTGAAAGGAATTCAAAGCTTAGTCAGTTTGTATTTGTTCTGTTTTTGTCGTAAAGTCACTGTTTGTTTGCAGTTGGTTTGTTTTTTTGATCTTTGCATCAAGGAAGAGCAGAGGTCTTTGCACTCGCTGTCGGTCTGAAACATCGCCATCGAACGTGGATTTATCTTGTAATGCCGCCATAAAGATCGGCCTAAAATGTCAAAAACACTAAAAAAAGCTTCCATTATTACAATCGAAATTGTAAAATGAAAGCTGTGATATACAAAGAGTAGAAACAATGCAAAAACAAGGCTTACTTACCGATTTGAACTTGAAAGACTTCAATCGATATACATCCCTCGTGGTTTAGAGAGCCAGCGTTTTTCTTGACCAGCGTCATTTCGTAGTTGTCATGACATCGTCTTACGTCATGTCAGATCGTTCTTTTTGGTCAGCGTCATCGTTCATAACAAATAAGAAGCTAATGCGCATATGCGTACGATTTTTCGACGTATGAAATTGAAGCGAAGCATTGATGAAAGCCCACATTGATGGAAATACAAAAAAATCGTCATATATAACAGACGGCTTCTCATAACAGGTAAGCATAGACATGACGGGGTAAGGTATAATTTTATAGGCGGCAAATCTGGGGTCAGATTCGAAGGGTGGGACACAATGCAGAATGTTCATCCCCAGGAGGGGGGTATAGTGGCATGAAAGTCTCAAGTCACGTGATAGTTAACTTACTGACAAACCGATAACATAGTGGTTCCCCGTCTAAAAGACGGGAGTAACCACAAAAATGGTACTGCTTCATTCCAATCTCTTTGATTCAGTTAATACTTCAAGGGTTTGGTGAAAGCGTTCGGGACAGTGCTCTCTGCGATTCTGGGTATGCATTCGAGTAGAAATTGCTTGATTCTGAGTTCACTCATAGCTTCATGGAATACAAGGGACATGAAGTTTGTTCCTTGATCATGTTGAATCTCTTTAGGCAATCCAATGTTGTGAAAAACTGATGACTGCTTTAGACGTGATGGTTCTCAAGATTAATACTATTGTAACAACCACTTAAATTACGTGCACTTTTACCCTTCTAAGATATTTATTAGTAAAGAACAGCAGTGCTGAAACAAGATACGCAATTTACAATCGGCTTTCTATAATGCAGCTAACATTTTCAGTAAATATCTAATCGACAAATTTCAAGAATAAGTAATTATATACATCTTTTTTGTCAAATCTGGCATTAATACTAGTGCTTCAAGTCTTATGTTCGATTACTAATATCTAGTTAGTGACTTTTAATATATTACAGTGCACAACTACTGGATCCAGGGCTATTTGAGTAAACCTGACCAATCACTATAATATTAAATTCATTTATACAAACAGATCTATAATCATGTCACATGAGGGGCCTTGGTCCAAAGCTAACGCTTTTCTCCCCAAACACTCCATCTGATGTTCTTGATGTCACTAATCGTTTTTGCCAAGCGCCAATAAAAAGCGCCTGGAAGAGCGAACATACAAAATATTTCACAAGTTTATTTGTTTGGTTGGTGTTTAGCTTCTTGAAAAAACATCGCGCTTATTTTTGAAAAACCAGACAATAGTAAACACGGTTGGAAGCGAGTTGGACCCAGGCTCGTCTGTACTAAATCAGGCTGTCAGCTGTATGCAGCTATTTCCAATCCCATTGTATTCTTATACTGAAATGCATTGTTGGTAGTCGTTAACTTCACCATTCACAGTGCTTCAACGATGCCAGCTCTGTATCATCGATGAAGGCACCGAATTACATGGAAGCGATGAATTTCGGTCTTGGAAGATGCTATACAGAATCACTGCATTCAGTGAATCAATGTTCTTTTTCTGGAAATAGCTAAAACTTATGTATGATAATTTTTAAACTTAAAGAATAAGATAAGTATTTTACAGTAATTTTAACCCAACTATATATATAAAAATAGTGAAAAAAACAATAAGTGCTATTAGTATAAACATACTAATGGTCTATCACTCATACTRCGCTGTGATTGTCTACTCTACTAATGATCTAATTGTTAATTAGCCATAAATCTACGGTCTATAACCCACACATAGAACTGATATTTTTCACATATGAATTTATCTATTCAATGATACTAGCCAAAGTATTATGATTTTTTTTTGTTGGATTTAACACCTAGCTTATGTGCTGAAATCCTTTTCGCGTATCTTTT